TGTTAATGTGGTCCTGTCTGGAGATACTGTTGATGTGGTCAAGTCCGCTGTTGATGTGTTTGCATCTGGAGAGGCTCTTGATGTGGTCACGTCTGGAGTTGTTGATGTGCTGGTGTCTGGAGACGCTGTTGCTGTGGTCACTTTTGGAGAAGCTGCTGAAGTGGTCCTGTCTGGAAATACTGTTGATGTGGTCATGTCCGGAGAAGCTGTTGACATGCTCGCTTCTGGCCAGGCAGTTGATGTGGTCACATCTGGAGAAGCAGCTGATGTGGTCCTGTCTGGATATGATGTTGATGGGGTCACATCTGGAGACACTGTTGATGTGGTCTTGTCCGGAGAAGCTATTGACGTGCTCGCTTCTGGCCAGCCGGTGGATGTGGTCACATCTGTAGAAGCTGCTGAAGTGGTCACGTCTGGAGACACTGTTGATGTGGTCCTGTCTGGAGAAGCTGTTGATGTGCTCACATCTGGAGAAGCTGTTGATGTGCTGGTGTCTGGAAACACTGTTAATGTGGTCCCGTCTGGAGAAGTGGTTGATGTGGTTGTGTCTGGAGCAGCTGATGATGTGGTCCCGTCTGGAAACGATGTTGATGTGGTCCCATCTGGGGACACTGTTGATGTGGTCATATCTGTAGAAGCTGTTGATGTGCTGGTGTCTGGAGACACTGTTGATGTGGTCGCATCTGGAGAAGTTGTTGATGTGCTGGTGTCTGGAGACACTGTTGATGTGCTCATGTCTGGAGAAGCTGTTGATGTGCTCACATCTGGCCAGGCTGTTGATGTGGTCCCTTCTGGAGACTCTGTTGATGTGGTTGTATTGGGAGAAGCTGTTGATGTGCTGGTATCTGGAAACACTGTTAATGTGGTCCGGTCTGGAGACACTGTTGACGTGCTCATGTCTGGAGAAACTGTTGATGTGCTCACATCTGGCCAGGCTGTTGATGTGGTCCCTTCTGGAGACTCTGTTGATGTGGTCATATCTGTAGAAGCTGTTGATGTGCTGGTGTCTGGAGACACTGTTGATGTGGTCGCATCTGGAGAAGTTGTTGATGTGCTGGTGTCTGGAGACACTGTTGATGTGCTCATGTCTGGAGAAGCTGTTGATGTGCTCACATCTGGCCAGGCTGTTGATGTGGTCCCTTCTGGAGACTCTGTTGATGTGGTCATATTGGGAGAAGCTGTTGATGTGCTGGTATCTGGAAACACTGTTAATGTGGTCCGGTCTGGAGACACTGTTGACGTGCTCATGTCTGGAGAAACTGTTGATGTGCTCACATCTGGCCAGGCTGTTGATGTGGTCCCTTCTGGAGACTCTGTTGATGTGGTCATATTGGGAGAAGCTGTTGATGTGCTGGTATCTGGAAACACTGTTAATGTGGTCCGGTCTGGAGACACTGTTGATGTGGTCATGTCCGGAGAAGCTGTTGACGTGCTTGCTTCTGGCCAGGCAGTTGATGTGGTCACATCTGGAGAAACTGGTGATGTGGTCACATCTGGAGAAGCTGTTGATGTGATCATGTCTGGAGACAATGTTGATGTGCTCATGTCTGGAGAAGCTGTTGATGTGCTTGCGTCTGGCCAGGCTGTTGATGTGGTGCCTTCTGGAGACTCTGTTGATGTGGTCACGTCTGGAGAAGTGGTTGATGTGGTCGCGTCTGGAACAGCTGATGATGTGGTCCCAGCTGGAGACGATGCTGATGTGGTCATATCTGGAGACACTGTTGATGTGGTCATATCTGGAGAAGCTGTTGATGTGCTGGTGTCTGGAGACACTGTGAATGTGGTCCTGCCTGGAGAAGATGTTGATGTGCTCACATCTGGAGAAGCTGTTGATGTACTGGTGTCTGGAAACACTGTTAATGTGGTCCCGTCTGGAGACACTGTTGATGTGGTCGCATCTGGAGAAGCTGTTGAGGTGATCATGTCTGAAGACACTGTTGACGTGCTCATGTCTGGAGAAGCTGTTGATGTGCTTGCATCTGCCCAGGCTGTTGATGTGGTCCCTTCTAGAGATTCTGTTGATGTGGTCCCATCTGGAGATGATGTTGATGTGGTCCCGTCTGGAGACTTTGTTGATGTGGTCACGTCTGGAGACACCGTTGATATGGTCACATCTGGAGAAGCTGTTAATGTGCTCGCTTCTGGCCAGGCAGTGGATGTGGTCACATCTGGAGAAGCTGGTGATGTGCTCATATCTGGAGCAGCTGCTGATGTGGTCCCATCTGGAGACACTGTTAACGTGTCTGGAGAAGCCGTTGATGTGCTTGCATCTGGGTAAGCTGTTGATGTGCTGGTTTCTGGAGACACTGTTAATGTGGTCACTTCTGAAGATGCTGCTGATGTGGTCCCATCTGGAGACACTGTTGATGTGGTCATGTCCGGAGAAGCTGTTGACGTGCTTGCTTCTGGCCAGGGAGTTGATGTGGTCCCATCTGGAGGAGACATTGTTGATGTGGTCATATCTGGAGAAGCTGTTGATATGCTGGTGTCTGGAGACACTGTTAATGTGGTCCTGTCTGGAGATACTGTTGATGTGGTCAAGTCCGCTGTTGATGTGTTTGCATCTGGAGAGGCTCTTGATGTGGTCACGTCTGGAGTTGTTGATGTGCTGGTGTCTGGAGACGCTGTTGCTGTGGTCACTTTTGGAGAAGCTGCTGAAGTGGTCCTGTCTGGAAATACTGTTGATGTGGTCATGTCCGGAGAAGCTGTTGACATGCTCGCTTCTGGCCAGGCAGTTGATGTGGTCACATCTGGAGAAGCAGCTGATGTGGTCCTGTCTGGATATGATGTTGATGGGGTCACATCTGGAGACACTGTTGATGTGGTCTTGTCCGGAGAAGCTATTGACGTGCTCGCTTCTGGCCAGCCGGTGGATGTGGTCACATCTGTAGAAGCTGCTGAAGTGGTCACGTCTGGAGACACTGTTGATGTGGTCCTGTCTGGAGAAGCTGTTGATGTGCTCACATCTGGAGAAGCTGTTGATGTGCTGGTGTCTGGAAACACTGTTAATGTGGTCCCGTCTGGAGAAGTGGTTGATGTGGTTGTGTCTGGAGCAGCTGATGATGTGGTCCCGTCTGGAAACGATGTTGATGTGGTCCCATCTGGGGACACTGTTGATGTGGTCATATCTGTAGAAGCTGTTGATGTGCTGGTGTCTGGAGACACTGTTGATGTGGTCGCATCTGGAGAAGTTGTTGATGTGCTGGTGTCTGGAGACACTGTTGATGTGCTCATGTCTGGAGAAGCTGTTGATGTGCTCACATCTGGCCAGGCTGTTGATGTGGTCCCTTCTGGAGACTCTGTTGATGTGGTTGTATTGGGAGAAGCTGTTGATGTGCTGGTATCTGGAAACACTGTTAATGTGGTCCGGTCTGGAGACACTGTTGACGTGCTCATGTCTGGAGAAACTGTTGATGTGCTCACATCTGGCCAGGCTGTTGATGTGGTCCCTTCTGGAGACTCTGTTGATGTGGTCATATCTGTAGAAGCTGTTGATGTGCTGGTGTCTGGAGACACTGTTGATGTGGTCGCATCTGGAGAAGTTGTTGATGTGCTGGTGTCTGGAGACACTGTTGATGTGCTCATGTCTGGAGAAGCTGTTGATGTGCTCACATCTGGCCAGGCTGTTGATGTGGTCCCTTCTGGAGACTCTGTTGATGTGGTCATATTGGGAGAAGCTGTTGATGTGCTGGTATCTGGAAACACTGTTAATGTGGTCCGGTCTGGAGACACTGTTGACGTGCTCATGTCTGGAGAAACTGTTGATGTGCTCACATCTGGCCAGGCTGTTGATGTGGTCCCTTCTGGAGACTCTGTTGATGTGGTCATATTGGGAGAAGCTGTTGATGTGCTGGTATCTGGAAACACTGTTAATGTGGTCCGGTCTGGAGACACTGTTGATGTGGTCATGTCCGGAGAAGCTGTTGACGTGCTTGCTTCTGGCCAGGCAGTTGATGTGGTCACATCTGGAGAAACTGGTGATGTGGTCACATCTGGAGAAGCTGTTGATGTGATCATGTCTGGAGACAATGTTGATGTGCTCATGTCTGGAGAAGCTGTTGATGTGCTTGCGTCTGGCCAGGCTGTTGATGTGGTGCCTTCTGGAGACTCTGTTGATGTGGTCACGTCTGGAGAAGTGGTTGATGTGGTCGCGTCTGGAACAGCTGATGATGTGGTCCCAGCTGGAGACGATGCTGATGTGGTCATATCTGGAGACACTGTTGATGTGGTCATATCTGGAGAAGCTGTTGATGTGCTGGTGTCTGGAGACACTGTGAATGTGGTCCTGCCTGGAGAAGATGTTGATGTGCTCACATCTGGAGAAGCTGTTGATGTACTGGTGTCTGGAAACACTGTTAATGTGGTCCCGTCTGGAGACACTGTTGATGTGGTCGCATCTGGAGAAGCTGTTGAGGTGATCATGTCTGAAGACACTGTTGACGTGCTCATGTCTGGAGAAGCTGTTGATGTGCTTGCATCTGCCCAGGCTGTTGATGTGGTCCCTTCTAGAGATTCTGTTGATGTGGTCCCATCTGGAGATGATGTTGATGTGGTCCCGTCTGGAGACTTTGTTGATGTGGTCACGTCTGGAGACACCGTTGATATGGTCACATCTGGAGAAGCTGTTAATGTGCTCGCTTCTGGCCAGGCAGTGGATGTGGTCACATCTGGAGAAGCTGGTGATGTGCTCATATCTGGAGCAGCTGCTGATGTGGTCCCATCTGGAGACACTGTTAACGTGTCTGGAGAAGCCGTTGATGTGCTTGCATCTGGGTAAGCTGTTGATGTGCTGGTTTCTGGAGACACTGTTAATGTGGTCACTTCTGAAGATGCTGCTGATGTGGTCCCATCTGGAGACACTGTTGATGTGGTCATGTCCGGAGAAGCTGTTGACGTGCTTGCTTCTGGCCAGGGAGTTGATGTGGTCCCATCTGGAGGAGACATTGTTGATGTGGTCATATCTGGAGAAGCTGTTGATATGCTGGTGTCTGGAGACACTGTTAATGTGGTCCTGTCTGGAGATACTGTTGATGTGGTCAAGTCCGCTGTTGATGTGTTTGCATCTGGAGAGGCTCTTGATGTGGTCACGTCTGGAGTTGTTGATGTGCTGGTGTCTGGAGACGCTGTTGCTGTGGTCACTTTTGGAGAAGCTGCTGAAGTGGTCCTGTCTGGAAATACTGTTGATGTGGTCATGTCCGGAGAAGCTGTTGACATGCTCGCTTCTGGCCAGGCAGTTGATGTGGTCACATCTGGAGAAGCAGCTGATGTGGTCCTGTCTGGATATGATGTTGATGGGGTCACATCTGGAGACACTGTTGATGTGGTCTTGTCCGGAGAAGCTATTGACGTGCTCGCTTCTGGCCAGCCGGTGGATGTGGTCACATCTGTAGAAGCTGCTGAAGTGGTCACGTCTGGAGACACTGTTGATGTGGTCCTGTCTGGAGAAGCTGTTGATGTGCTCACATCTGGAGAAGCTGTTGATGTGCTGGTGTCTGGAAACACTGTTAATGTGGTCCCGTCTGGAGAAGTGGTTGATGTGGTTGTGTCTGGAGCAGCTGATGATGTGGTCCCGTCTGGAAACGATGTTGATGTGGTCCCATCTGGGGACACTGTTGATGTGGTCATATCTGTAGAAGCTGTTGATGTGCTGGTGTCTGGAGACACTGTTGATGTGGTCGCATCTGGAGAAGTTGTTGATGTGCTGGTGTCTGGAGACACTGTTGATGTGCTCATGTCTGGAGAAGCTGTTGATGTGCTCACATCTGGCCAGGCTGTTGATGTGGTCCCTTCTGGAGACTCTGTTGATGTGGTTGTATTGGGAGAAGCTGTTGATGTGCTGGTATCTGGAAACACTGTTAATGTGGTCCGGTCTGGAGACACTGTTGACGTGCTCATGTCTGGAGAAACTGTTGATGTGCTCACATCTGGCCAGGCTGTTGATGTGGTCCCTTCTGGAGACTCTGTTGATGTGGTCATATCTGTAGAAGCTGTTGATGTGCTGGTGTCTGGAGACACTGTTGATGTGGTCGCATCTGGAGAAGTTGTTGATGTGCTGGTGTCTGGAGACACTGTTGATGTGCTCATGTCTGGAGAAGCTGTTGATGTGCTCACATCTGGCCAGGCTGTTGATGTGGTCCCTTCTGGAGACTCTGTTGATGTGGTCATATTGGGAGAAGCTGTTGATGTGCTGGTATCTGGAAACACTGTTAATGTGGTCCGGTCTGGAGACACTGTTGACGTGCTCATGTCTGGAGAAACTGTTGATGTGCTCACATCTGGCCAGGCTGTTGATGTGGTCCCTTCTGGAGACTCTGTTGATGTGGTCATATTGGGAGAAGCTGTTGATGTGCTGGTATCTGGAAACACTGTTAATGTGGTCCGGTCTGGAGACACTGTTGATGTGGTCATGTCCGGAGAAGCTGTTGACGTGCTTGCTTCTGGCCAGGCAGTTGATGTGGTCACATCTGGAGAAACTGGTGATGTGGTCACATCTGGAGAAGCTGTTGATGTGATCATGTCTGGAGACAATGTTGATGTGCTCATGTCTGGAGAAGCTGTTGATGTGCTTGCGTCTGGCCAGGCTGTTGATGTGGTGCCTTCTGGAGACTCTGTTGATGTGGTCACGTCTGGAGAAGTGGTTGATGTGGTCGCGTCTGGAACAGCTGATGATGTGGTCCCAGCTGGAGACGATGCTGATGTGGTCATATCTGGAGACACTGTTGATGTGGTCATATCTGGAGAAGCTGTTGATGTGCTGGTGTCTGGAGACACTGTGAATGTGGTCCTGCCTGGAGAAGATGTTGATGTGCTCACATCTGGAGAAGCTGTTGATGTACTGGTGTCTGGAAACACTGTTAATGTGGTCCCGTCTGGAGACACTGTTGATGTGGTCGCATCTGGAGAAGCTGTTGAGGTGATCATGTCTGAAGACACTGTTGACGTGCTCATGTCTGGAGAAGCTGTTGATGTGCTTGCATCTGCCCAGGCTGTTGATGTGGTCCCTTCTAGAGATTCTGTTGATGTGGTCCCATCTGGAGATGATGTTGATGTGGTCCCGTCTGGAGACTTTGTTGATGTGGTCACGTCTGGAGACACCGTTGATATGGTCACATCTGGAGAAGCTGTTAATGTGCTCGCTTCTGGCCAGGCAGTGGATGTGGTCACATCTGGAGAAGCTGGTGATGTGCTCATATCTGGAGCAGCTGCTGATGTGGTCCCATCTGGAGACACTGTTAACGTGTCTGGAGAAGCCGTTGATGTGCTTGCATCTGGGTAAGCTGTTGATGTGCTGGTTTCTGGAGACACTGTTAATGTGGTCACTTCTGAAGATGCTGCTGATGTGGTCCCATCTGGAGACACTGTTGATGTGGTCATGTCCGGAGAAGCTGTTGACGTGCTTGCTTCTGGCCAGGGAGTTGATGTGGTCCCATCTGGAGGAGACATTGTTGATGTGGTCATATCTGGAGAAGCTGTTGATATGCTGGTGTCTGGAGACACTGTTAATGTGGTCCTGTCTGGAGATACTGTTGATGTGGTCAAGTCCGCTGTTGATGTGTTTGCATCTGGAGAGGCTCTTGATGTGGTCACGTCTGGAGTTGTTGATGTGCTGGTGTCTGGAGACGCTGTTGCTGTGGTCACTTTTGGAGAAGCTGCTGAAGTGGTCCTGTCTGGAAATACTGTTGATGTGGTCATGTCCGGAGAAGCTGTTGACATGCTCGCTTCTGGCCAGGCAGTTGATGTGGTCACATCTGGAGAAGCAGCTGATGTGGTCCTGTCTGGATATGATGTTGATGGGGTCACATCTGGAGACACTGTTGATGTGGTCTTGTCCGGAGAAGCTATTGACGTGCTCGCTTCTGGCCAGCCGGTGGATGTGGTCACATCTGTAGAAGCTGCTGAAGTGGTCACGTCTGGAGACACTGTTGATGTGGTCCTGTCTGGAGAAGCTGTTGATGTGCTCACATCTGGAGAAGCTGTTGATGTGCTGGTGTCTGGAAACACTGTTAATGTGGTCCCGTCTGGAGAAGTGGTTGATGTGGTTGTGTCTGGAGCAGCTGATGATGTGGTCCCGTCTGGAAACGATGTTGATGTGGTCCCATCTGGGGACACTGTTGATGTGGTCATATCTGTAGAAGCTGTTGATGTGCTGGTGTCTGGAGACACTGTTGATGTGGTCGCATCTGGAGAAGTTGTTGATGTGCTGGTGTCTGGAGACACTGTTGATGTGCTCATGTCTGGAGAAGCTGTTGATGTGCTCACATCTGGCCAGGCTGTTGATGTGGTCCCTTCTGGAGACTCTGTTGATGTGGTTGTATTGGGAGAAGCTGTTGATGTGCTGGTATCTGGAAACACTGTTAATGTGGTCCGGTCTGGAGACACTGTTGACGTGCTCATGTCTGGAGAAACTGTTGATGTGCTCACATCTGGCCAGGCTGTTGATGTGGTCCCTTCTGGAGACTCTGTTGATGTGGTCATATCTGTAGAAGCTGTTGATGTGCTGGTGTCTGGAGACACTGTTGATGTGGTCGCATCTGGAGAAGTTGTTGATGTGCTGGTGTCTGGAGACACTGTTGATGTGCTCATGTCTGGAGAAGCTGTTGATGTGCTCACATCTGGCCAGGCTGTTGATGTGGTCCCTTCTGGAGACTCTGTTGATGTGGTCATATTGGGAGAAGCTGTTGATGTGCTGGTATCTGGAAACACTGTTAATGTGGTCCGGTCTGGAGACACTGTTGACGTGCTCATGTCTGGAGAAACTGTTGATGTGCTCACATCTGGCCAGGCTGTTGATGTGGTCCCTTCTGGAGACTCTGTTGATGTGGTCATATTGGGAGAAGCTGTTGATGTGCTGGTATCTGGAAACACTGTTAATGTGGTCCGGTCTGGAGACACTGTTGATGTGGTCATGTCCGGAGAAGCTGTTGACGTGCTTGCTTCTGGCCAGGCAGTTGATGTGGTCACATCTGGAGAAACTGGTGATGTGGTCACATCTGGAGAAGCTGTTGATGTGATCATGTCTGGAGACAATGTTGATGTGCTCATGTCTGGAGAAGCTGTTGATGTGCTTGCGTCTGGCCAGGCTGTTGATGTGGTGCCTTCTGGAGACTCTGTTGATGTGGTCACGTCTGGAGAAGTGGTTGATGTGGTCGCGTCTGGAACAGCTGATGATGTGGTCCCAGCTGGAGACGATGCTGATGTGGTCATATCTGGAGACACTGTTGATGTGGTCATATCTGGAGAAGCTGTTGATGTGCTGGTGTCTGGAGACACTGTGAATGTGGTCCTGCCTGGAGAAGATGTTGATGTGCTCACATCTGGAGAAGCTGTTGATGTACTGGTGTCTGGAAACACTGTTAATGTGGTCCCGTCTGGAGACACTGTTGATGTGGTCGCATCTGGAGAAGCTGTTGAGGTGATCATGTCTGAAGACACTGTTGACGTGCTCATGTCTGGAGAAGCTGTTGATGTGCTTGCATCTGCCCAGGCTGTTGATGTGGTCCCTTCTAGAGATTCTGTTGATGTGGTCCCATCTGGAGATGATGTTGATGTGGTCCCGTCTGGAGACTTTGTTGATGTGGTCACGTCTGGAGACACCGTTGATATGGTCACATCTGGAGAAGCTGTTAATGTGCTCGCTTCTGGCCAGGCAGTGGATGTGGTCACATCTGGAGAAGCTGGTGATGTGCTCATATCTGGAGCAGCTGCTGATGTGGTCCCATCTGGAGACACTGTTAACGTGTCTGGAGAAGCCGTTGATGTGCTTGCATCTGGGTAAGCTGTTGATGTGCTGGTTTCTGGAGACACTGTTAATGTGGTCACTTCTGAAGATGCTGCTGATGTGGTCCCATCTGGAGACACTGTTGATGTGGTCATGTCCGGAGAAGCTGTTGACGTGCTTGCTTCTGGCCAGGGAGTTGATGTGGTCCCATCTGGAGGAGACATTGTTGATGTGGTCATATCTGGAGAAGCTGTTGATATGCTGGTGTCTGGAGACACTGTTAATGTGGTCCTGTCTGGAGATACTGTTGATGTGGTCAAGTCCGCTGTTGATGTGTTTGCATCTGGAGAGGCTCTTGATGTGGTCACGTCTGGAGTTGTTGATGTGCTGGTGTCTGGAGACGCTGTTGCTGTGGTCACTTTTGGAGAAGCTGCTGAAGTGGTCCTGTCTGGAAATACTGTTGATGTGGTCATGTCCGGAGAAGCTGTTGACATGCTCGCTTCTGGCCAGGCAGTTGATGTGGTCACATCTGGAGAAGCAGCTGATGTGGTCCTGTCTGGATATGATGTTGATGGGGTCACATCTGGAGACACTGTTGATGTGGTCTTGTCCGGAGAAGCTATTGACGTGCTCGCTTCTGGCCAGCCGGTGGATGTGGTCACATCTGTAGAAGCTGCTGAAGTGGTCACGTCTGGAGACACTGTTGATGTGGTCCTGTCTGGAGAAGCTGTTGATGTGCTCACATCTGGAGAAGCTGTTGATGTGCTGGTGTCTGGAAACACTGTTAATGTGGTCCCGTCTGGAGAAGTGGTTGATGTGGTTGTGTCTGGAGCAGCTGATGATGTGGTCCCGTCTGGAAACGATGTTGATGTGGTCCTGCATCTGGGACACTGTTGATGTGGTCATATCTGTAGAAGCTTGTTGATGTGCTGGTGTCTGGAGACACTGTTGATGTGGTCGCATCTGGAGAAGTTGTTGATGTGCTGGTGTCTGGAGACACTGTTGATGTGCTCATGTCTGGAGAAGCTGTTGATGTGCTCACATCTGGGCCAGGGCTGTGTGATGTGGTCCCTTCTGGAGACTCTGTTGATGTGGTTGTATTGGGAGAAGTGTTGATGTGCTGGGTATCTGGATAACACTGTTAATGTGGTCCGGTCTGGAGACACTGTTGACGTGCTCATGCTGGAGAAACTGTTGATGTGCTCACATCTGGCCAGGCTGTTTTGATGTGGTCCCTTCTTGGAGACTCTGTTGATGTGGTCATATCTGTAGAGCTGTTGATGTGCTGGTGTCTGGAGACACTGTTGATGTGGTCGCATCTGGAGAAGTTGTTGATGTGCTGGTGTCTGGAGACACTGTTGATGTGCTCATGTCTGGAGAAGCTGTTGATGTGCTCACATTCTGGCCAGGCGGATGTGGTCATCGGAGACTGTGATTGCTCTTATCTGGAGACTCTGTTGATTGTGGTATATTGGGAGTAGCTGTTGATGTGCTGGATCTGGAACACTGTTGATGTGTCCTGTCTAGGAAGCTGTTTGATGTGCTCATGTCTGGAGAGCTGTTGATGTGCTCACATCTGAGACAGCTGTGATGTGGTCACATCTGGAGAAGCTGTTGATGTGCCTGTATCTGGAGAATGCTGTTGATGTGGCAATCTGGAGAACGCTGAAGTGGTCCTGTCTGGAGAAGCTGTTGATGTGGTGCATGTCCGGAGCAGCTGTTGATGTTGCATTCTGGAACACTGTGATGTGTCCTTCTGGAGACACTGTTGATGTGGTCACATCTGGAGAAGATGTTGATGTGGTCTGTCTGGAGAAGTGTTGATGTGATCACGATCTGGCCAGCTGTTGATGTGCTCATGTCTGGAGAAGGTTGTTGATTGTTGTCCTCTGGAGGCTATTGATGTGGTCCTTCTGGAGATCTGTTGATGTGCTAGTTCTGGAGACATGTTGATTGGTCCGTCTGGAACAGCTGATGATGTTGGTCCCACTGGAGACGATGCTGATGTGGTCATATCTGGAGACACTGTTGATGTGGTCAATCTGGAGAAGCTGTTGATGTGTGTCCTCTGGAGACACTGTGAGTGCTCCTCGGAGAGCTGTTGATGTGGTCCTGTCTGGAGAAGATGTTGATGTGGTCTCATCTGGAGAAGTGTTGATGTACTGGTGTCTGGAAGACACTGTTGATGTGGTCCCGTCTGAGTCGCTGTTGATGTGGTCGCATCTGGAGAAGCTGTTGATATGCGTGTCGTGTCTGGAGACTTTGTTAATGTGTTATGCATCTGGAGAAGCTGCTGTCGTCCTGTCTGGAGGCACTGCTGATGTGGTCACTCTGGAGAGATGTTGATGTGTGTCACTGGAGATTTGGTTGTGGGTCCGTCTGGAGGACACAGTTGATGTGGCTCATGTCTGGAGACGGTCTCCTTGGATGTTGGTCACATCTGGAGAACTGCTGTTATTTGGCTCTGTGTCTGGAGACAGTTGGTCGAAATTGATGTGCGTCGCATCTGGAGAAGCTGCTGTGTGGTCCCATCTGAGACACTGTTAATGGGTCACGTCCAGAGAAGATGTGTGATGTGGTCCCTATCTGGAGACACTGTTGATGTGTGTCGTCTGAGAAGCAGTTGATGTGCTTGCGTCTGGAGGTTCTTGATGTGGTCATGTCTAGAGGTGCTGTGATGTGCTGGATCTGGAGAAGCTGCTGGATGTGGTCAATCTGGAGACACTATTGATGTGCTCATATCTGTATATGTTGTTGATGTGGATGCTTCTGGAAGACACTCTTGATGTCGTCACGTCTGGAGGACACTGTTGATGTGGTCTTTGTCCTGGAGACGCTGTTTATGTGGTCGCATCTGGAGAAGCTGCTGATGTGGTCCTGTCTGGAGATAGCTGTTGATGGCTTGGTCAGAGATCAACTGTTTGATGTGCTCGCATCTGGAGAGGCTTTTGATGTGGTCACTCTGGAGAGCATTGATGTAGTCATGTCTGAGATGTTGTTGCTGGGTTGATGTCTGAAGACACTGTTGATGTGGTCATTCTGGAGACGCTGTTGAAGTGCTTGCTGTCTGAGACATCTGTTGAATGTGGTCTGTCATCTGGAGAAGCTGTTGATGGTCCCCTCTGGAGACACTGTTGATGTGGTCACGTCTTGGAGAAGATGTTGATGTGGCCCTGTCTGGAGA